AACGTCGAGCAAAGGAGCTTGAAGACACGATAGCTGCTTTGCAGGTAGAGAAGACTTTGGTTGCTGACAGAGCGAAGGCTAGCGCCGCCGAGGCGGAAGAAAAGGCTTCACGTGCGACGGAGCGAGCCCGCATCACGGAAGTGGAGATGAAGGCAGAGCTTCAGGTCCTGGAGGGCAAGCTGGAGGCAATGCGTGCTTTGGCAGAGGAGGCTTCTTCTGGCGCGGTGGGCGATTCTCAGGCGAAGCTACTGCGGCAGGTGGAAACCTTGCAGACTCAACATGCGATTGCTACAGAGAATTGGCAAGGGATCGAAGCCAGCCTGCTCGCTCGACTCGGTAATCTAGAACGGGAGAGAGACGATGCCTTGCGGAGGGAATCCGAAATGAGAAAAAAGGCTAGAGAAACCGTAAGACACTCTCCATTGATAACGTTCAATCCACCTCTTTCTCCAAACTTGCACAGGACATCTTGCCTCGCAATGGACTGCGAATACTGACGTCTCCACAGGCGAATCGATGCAAGCGTCAAGATGAGGAGATACAGGAACTTACGAACAAATTTCCCAACTACCAGCGGGATGTTGAGGCATATCAATCTCGCATCGATGTTTTACAACAACGAGCAGATGACGCCGAAGCTGCGCTTGCGCGGGCAAAACTTGACTCGGAGAAGCAACACGCGGCGTGGAAGGCAGAGAGGACCGAGTCTGAACGGAGACCATGGCTCGAAGACCACCTCTCGAACTCGATATCGAGGATGCAGAGCAGGCCAGACTCGCCTCTATTATCTGTTCCCACCCGTACTTTGAGCAATGATCTACTCATGCTACAAAGTGCCTCAGGAAAAGGCCGCAAAATTTCAACCCCCACGAGTGGAACAGAGGGTGTTCACGAAGGCTCTTCTCCAGGAAGACGATTATCTGCCCATCCTCCCTCAGCGCCATTCTTTGCATCCGGCGCGCCGAGCCTTCCAGGTTCAGCGTTCGTCCCATCCTTTGACTTAGCACCAGACTCGCTGCCTACGCCGACATCGCACGCAGGCGAGAAGGACGATCTCTTCGACGGTGTGGAGACGACCTCTTCACCAAGGCAGATGATGCAAGATATGGTGTCCGTATCAACTGTTGGGGCGGGTCCCTCGGTCCAGCTCGTCGAGAGGATGAGTGCCGCGATCCGACGACTTGAGGCTGAAAAGGTAACATCGCGCGAGGAGCTTGCGCGAATATCCGGGCAGAGGGATGAGGCAAGAGCAGAAATAGCCACTTTAATGAAAGAGATGGAATCCGGTAAGGCGGCATCAAAACGGGTGGCTGAGCTGGAAGGCCAGGTCGAGGACATCAATTCCAGGTACCAAATAACGCTAGAAGTATTAGGTGAGAAAAGTGAGCTGGTGGAGGAGCTCCGCGCTGATGTGCAAGACGTCAAGGCCATGTATCGCGATTTGGTAGAGCGCACGGTCAGGTGACGAATTCGGGTATATTCTGGACTAAGCATGTAATAGTCCGCATAGGAATGATGAACATGATTCCGATGCGTGTTTTTGTTTGGACTGTATTAATTATGGCTTCACAGGTGGTGGTAGTGTGGCCTCCTTGGTTCAGAGGTCTATGCCTTCCCCTTCGGCGGCACGCTCGATGTAACGGCGAACCTGCGACAAGACCGGCTTAGTTTGGGGACAAAGTTCAGAGGAATGGGCATAGTCTAGGGCCACACAACCTACCTCTTTATCTGGAGCCAAGTCAAGGGCCAGACAGCCATCTTGGTCCTTCTTACCATAGTCTGCGCCAGCCTTCAGTAATGCTACGGCTGCGTCGCCTGGAAATTGAAATGTTAGGTAGTAGATAAAAGAGTGGCACAAGTTACACATACCGTGTCCTTCGGCAACGGCATGGTGTAAAGCGGTATACCCCGAAGAGTCGGTGGCATCGAGAGGGCTTTTATTGTTGACGAGCAGCCTCATCATGGGGATTGAGCCCACGGCCGCGGCCCGGTGAATAGGATATTGGCCACGCTTGTCACGAACTCTAGTGGACGCCGAGGGATCATGATCGAGGAGCATCTTAGCAACATCCAAGTTGTTTTTGGAGGCGACAAAGTGAAGGACGCTCTGCCCATTATGGTCTGTGAATCGCAAGCGGGGCATCAGCCACTACAGCCAAGACGCAGGCAAGACGGGAGATCCAACATGCATACGTACTTTTCAGGTTCGCATCAGCGCCCTTCTGCAACAGCAAGTGAACCAGGTCCTCGCCATCCTTGATGCTGGCAGCAATCATTAATGGCGTCCAGCCGCTGCCATCCTGCATAGCGAATATGAGTCAAGTGAACTAGTTGTCATCCCAACCTAAGGGAGCAGTTGGATGGGAACCAAACCTGAATGTCCGGATCGAAGCCACGTTGTTGCACGAGGAGCATGACGATTTCGGTGCAGTTGGAAGAAACGGCCCAGTGTAGTGGCAGCCTACCGTCATCGTCCTCACGTAGAGCAAGCTTGGGGTCCGTCTGGACGTTATCAGCCTCGCCATTCAGACATCTTCGTGCACGCGTCAAAGAGTTGAAGTACCCTGAGAAGTGTCTCTGCAATTGAAACTGCCCAGCTCGTCAGGGATGAAGCAAACTACTGCGATCAATGAGTCCTACCTCTACACTCACGCGCCGCCGAATGAAGTGGAAATTTATCTGGAGTATCGTCCATGGTCCGGGTCCAGTCCTCTAGAAAGGTGGTTCGCTAGAATACAACGACACGGCCAACTGAGAGTGGGAAGTGTTCTTGCAGTTAGAGATATAAAAGAGAAAGGTTACAAAATTGGACTCTACGGTGGAATCACGGCGGGATGACGCTGAGAGCCATACTTAGGGTGATAAGTATCTCACCGTCGTGCAGTGCCGTACCTAGGCACAGTGCACCTTCCTCCAACAAGCAGGCTGTGGCACCTCCTGAGCGTAAAAGTTGGTTACATAATGTATGAGTAGAGCGGCAGATAGCACCCGCGTACCTCCTTGGGGTTCTAGAACGCTTAAAGACACACACACTTTCCTCCAACAAGTCCTCCAAGGTCCTCAAAGGTGGGTAGGTAGGTAGGTAGTGTACCGGTGGTGGACGGGCAGATGGTGGGGCTGAGCACACGAGTGTGCTGTGTACACAGTGTAGTCAGGCGCACCGTATGGATTAGGTAGGTAGGAAAGCGTCGTGGCATGTGTGAGGCTCAGCAACCCACATAGTCCGTGCGCTGAGACGCGCTCCGCGAGGCTAGCTGACTACCATATATCCTTTCATACCGAAGTCGAATCTCAGCCTTTCCAACAACCATCGGCACCCCAGAGTTACGAACTCCAACCACCGAGTCCTCGGAAGCCCCGAGATCCGTCATCACAATGGATGTTGCTGTCTCCGAGTCCAGCATTCCAACAACCTCAAGTCTTGGAGAGTTGCTCGATGGAAACCACAAAGCGACCAAGTCCTTCTACTTAAATTCGCCCAGCGCGCCAACGAGAAAGCGACAGAGGACTGACTTGGCCGAAACCACAATCGAGGGTGTTGATGACAGGGACCCCACCGAACGTCGCTTCCGGCTGGAATATGCCACCGTGCAACAGCTCCCAGCATCTCTCGCCGCCAAGCAGCCAGCTGCTTCTAAGTCGCGCAGAACCAAGCCGAACACCACCGCTGAGCAAACCCTCGTGCGCCAACGATCCGTCCAAAAACTTCTCGAGGGACCAGCCGAGTCTGCAGAGCTCACAAAAGCTACTCATCCATCCAATGGCTCGTCTCCGCAGCTGTCTTCTGAGCCCATGAGCCTTGCGCGGGCCGGATCGTCGGCATCACAGAATGGCAAACCCGAATGGCATCCTCCTTGGAAGCTTATGAGGGTCATCTCAGGCCACTTGGGCTGGGTGCGAAGCTTAGCTGTTGAACCTGGAAATAAGTGGTTTGCGAGCGGCGCGGGCGATAGGACCATCAAGATTTGGGACATTGCTACAGGATCCCTCCGCCTCACCCTGACGGGTCATATATCGACAGTTCGCGGCCTTGCCGTAAGCCCGCGCCATCCTTACCTATTTTCTTGCGGTGAGGACAAAATGGTCAAATGCTGGGATCTTGAAACCAACAAAGTCATACGACACTATCATGGTCATCTGAGTGGCGTATACACTCTTTCGCTTCACCCGACACTGGATGTGCTGGTGACGGGAGGTCGAGATGGCGTCGCGAGAGTATGGGATATGCGAACTCGAAGTAACATACACGTCCTTTCGGGTCACACTGGAACGGTATCAGATGTTAAGTGCCAGGAGGTCGACCCCCAAGTTATGACTGGGTCTCTTGATGCAACCGTGAGACTATGGGACTTGGCTGCAGGCAAGACCATGGGTGTCCTTACCCATCACAAAAAAGGCGTCAGGGCCTTGGCTACACATCCTCAAGAGTTTACCTTTGCCTCTGGTAGCACAGGGAGCATCAAGCAATGGAAATGCCCCGAGGGAGCCTTTATGCAGAATTTTGATGGACACAATGCCATCATCAATACTCTCAGCGTAAACCAGGAAAACGTGCTCTTTTCCGGCGGCGACAACGGCTCGATGAGCTTCTGGGACTGGAAGACGGGCCATCGCTTCCAGTCGCTGGATACCACAGCGCAGCCAGGGTCCTTGGATGCCGAGGCGGGGATCATGAGCTCAACCTTTGATCGTTCTGGACTACGTCTTATTTGTGGTGAGGCAGACAAAACAATCAAAATATGGAAGCAGGATGAAAAGGCAACTCCTGAAACGCATCCTGTACTTTGGCAGCCAACGCTCGCACGACGCAAATACTAGTGCGAAATGGTTTGGAGGACGGAGCTTACCTTACAGAGGACATGAGTATAGGATGGTACAACATTAGACAGACTCAGAGACAGTGAAGGGCCGGGACACACGATGAAGGAAGGATTAATAGATACCCGCTGCTTCTGCTATCTTATCGCCGTGCCATTGCAACGGCGTGGGGGGTGCTTGAACTAGAAAAATAGACCAAGGGCCTTGACCTCACCGTCATCTCGGAACGCCATCTTGAGTTCCTCATCTCCAACTGCAAGGCGCATCTTACTCGGTCTCTCGGCCCTCTGCGACTCTAGGACAATGATGCCTGCGCCAACCAACTCCATTGCCGCATGGCGAAGTCCCATGGCTTCCATTACCCGAGCACTTTCCCTGCTTGGGCCCAGATCGATTCCTGACGAGCCACTTACCATTGCCGCAACAAGGCCGGGGTCTAGGCCTCCAGTGTCAATTTTCATTATACGATACATCTCGTCCATAACATCGCCGAATGTTGTCTCAACAGTGCCGTTTCTTTGAATTTTGACCAGCAAGGCACTCAGAAGTAATTTGGGTGCGAACGCCAACGAACGCAAGTACTGCTGTATTGGGTTCGTGGTGGCTTCACCAATGGCTTTTCTGATGATGTCCACAGTGACCTTTGCCGTTGTCTGATTGCCAGTTCTACGTGCCTCTCGACTAGTCATGTCGGGTCCAGTACGGGAATCGGACTCGGCGAGTTCGACGGCTCGTCTACAGATGTCCAGGGCTCTCCGGGCATCACCGCTGACAGCGGCCACCTTTCGACTGGCAAAGCCAATAGCATCCGGGGAAACCAGGTCCCCAGGTACTCCCTCCAGCCTGGACTGTATAATTTGAATCAGTTGCTGGTGTGTGTACCCCGGAAACGTGATTCGTGTAAGGCCTGGACATTTATGTGAGCTTTTGGATGGACGGATGGCATCCTTGATGACCTTACCTATGCGACTACTAATCTTGTTGCTGAGGGTTCTCTCAGGAAGGTCCATGGTATTAGCGACAGCTAGAACGATGAGCCTACTGTGCCGGAGTCCTGGCCAGTTGAAAAAGTTGTACATGACGCTTTGATTTCTCGTCACCAGTTGGTCCAGCTCGTCCATTAGGACAACACATGGCGTGCGGCGAGGACTGGGGTTGTTAAACTCTCGTTCTAGGAGGTCGATGGCTTGCGATGGGCTGACACGTTCCCCCTTTAACGCCTCCCAGAGAAGGCTGTATGATTGGTGGGGATCAGTGATTTTCATGCCATTGATTTCAACGAAGATGAAGTCGTCCAACTCATCCGCCCTCACATTGTCTTCGAGACGGGATATAACTTCACGAACGGTCGCTGTCTTACCAGTTCCTGGTGTACCAGCAATGTAGATGCAACTTCCACTCCCATCTGCAATCGCGACTTCCAGATGAGAATACACCGTAGCAAACTCATTCTCTCGGCAAGGCAGATGGGATGGAACGGATGCAACGTGTAGCTGTGATCGTGCTAACTGGAATGGCGATGATTGAAGGCGGTTTGGGGATAGTTTTCGAGTGCCCAACGGTGTGAACTCTAAAGTCTTCTTCACGACGCTGAACAGCAAGTTAGCTTCATCGGCAATAATGATGCGCAAGCAGTTTTACGGACCGTTTCCGTGATGATGGTGTCGTTACAAGGCGATCACTTCCACGGGGCGTAGAAACATCCAGCTTGGTCGTCCGTTTCGGTGTCGCTAGGTTGCCAGTGCCTTCGGGAAGAGCATATGATTGTTCTGGTGTCGATTCCCTTCTGCCCAGACGCCTCTTTGTCGACTTGGTGTGGGATTTAGCAAACTGTATGAGGTCATGTACGCCTAGGTCGTTGGCCTGATAGATATCCTCCCATACAAATTCATCTGTGTATGCTGCTGTCCTTGTGTTGCATCCACGCCGGCAGATGAATACCTTGCCATAGTCAGGCGAGGATCGAGGCACCTTTCCGGATGGGTACTTTTGGGCAAATTTGCGCGGAGAAAGAACAATGGCTTTGCCATTTATAGCAGCTAAGGGATTGACGTCCCATGAAGGGGAGATATACAGCTCATTCTAATGAAAGTAAGCCTCGGTATTGATATACACTGAACAGACAACATACAGGCAGAAAGTCTAGCCTCTTCCTCTCTTTGTTGCGTATTTCTTTTTCCGTGGAGAACCACATGAAGTTTGCCGCCTTCTCTCCTTCGTCGTCCTCAACGAACTCGCAAATGATAGCAACCCAGGCTTCTTTCGATCCTTCAGCTTTGAGGAGCACACAATCGCCAACAAAGCACTGAAAGGTACCGAGGCCGGCACCAACTATTCGCGGTCCGCTGACTGTTCTCTTGCGTTTCCGGGGGATGTCGCTTTGCTCGTGTGTATCGGGAGATTTCGTAGTGGCACGATCGTAGAGCCATTTCCACGGAAGATCTTCGACGCCTAGTTCGTCGTCCGAGTCATCTCTCGCGACACCCGTGGGCTTGCGCGCCGGACGCCGACTTGTGCGGATGGAAGCGGCCATGAGGTGCCCACATGAGGTATTTTAGAGGCTTCCGTGGCGATGGTGTCTGTGTCTGCTAGCTCTGAGTGTCAGTATGTCATTGGGGTGATTGAGGATGTAGGCACTGTATTACTTGACGCGTTTGGGACGCGTTATGTGGATACCTAGAGGTATTGCTTTATTAGATTATAGGTGTTGAAATAGTGCTTCTTAGCTACTAAGGTAGCTAAATAGATAATCCACCTAATAAGAATAAGAAGCTTTATATATCTATATATAGAGTTTTATTACTTCTTAAGTATATATATATAATATACTTATAGCTATATAGGTAGGTTAAGTAAAGTATTTAAAAATATAGGTGTAGTTAATATTATAAAGAAGTCTATATTACTAGCTTATATATATAAAGCTTTTTAAATACTATATATCTTAAGGCTTATATAGCTTATACTTAACTAGTATAATTAATATATATTTAATATATCTACCTTCTTAATAGAATAATTATTATCTTTAATAACTAGTTAAGTAGAGTATTTATTCTAAAGTAAAGTATTTAATATAAGAATAAATAAAATAAACTATATATTCTAAAAGTAAATAATATATCTTAGGTTATAGGTTAGATTAATAAGTATATATAAAGATACCCTCCTAATAGCTTTACTTATAGCTATAGAGAAGGTTTTATCTATAGCTATAACTATAGCTATACTTATAGCTATACTTATAGCTATACTTATAGCTTTATCTATAGCTATACTTATAGCTTTATCTATAGCTATACTTATAGCTTTATTTATAGTTTTATCTATAGCTAATATAATAGCTATATTAATACCTATAAATAAAGCTATTAATTAGGCGTATTAAATAAACTAAATAAAAAATTTTTAACTATCTTTAATTACTATTTCTTATATAAAATAAAACTAAAAAATAAAAGCTAGAATTAAATGATATAAAATAACTATTTATTATAGAATAAGTATAATAGCTATAGCTAAAGTAAATATAAGTTTTAAAGTAAAATAACTAACAATATTACTTATAAACTTAAAACTCTATAATTAAACTTTTATTAATATCTATTCTTAGTTTATCTCTAGTTTATTTTAATACTATATTATAGTTTATAAAATATTATATCTTTATACTAAATAAAATACTATATATATATTATTATAATTAGTATTTAATAGTATTAATTAGTTTTCTCTTTTTTATCTATTTTAGTATTATCTATTTCTTCTAAGAGAATAGTTTTTAGTTATTTATTATTAATATTAAGGTTAAATATATTAAGTATAATAGCTTTATTTATATTACTTATAATAAAGGCTACTAGCCTTATATTATAAAATTTAACTAGTATTAATTATAAAAGTTAGACTAGTCCCCTTACCCTCTACTAATAACTTTTAGGTTATATAACTATAGACTTAGATATATTTTTTACCTCTACGCTCCTCTAACTTTAAATATTATAATAAGATAAGTTAACTATTTTCTTCTAGCTACTTCTATTTCTATACTATATTTAATTTATACTTATCTTCTAAGTCTCTACTACTATTTAGATATTTATATTACTCTACTAAGTATAGAAGTCTTAAAACCTCTATACTATTATACTATTTAAATAGTATCTCTTACTATACTATATAGTTTTAATATAAAATCTTACTACTATTAAGTATACTTTTAATATATTTACTTTTTTAACTTTTTAAACTATTTTAGTTATCTTAAAGAAGTTTATAAAATAGTTATAAATATTAGAATTATTATTAATAATATTAACTATCTCTATATTAACCTTAAAGCTACATAATTTTAGTATCTTATATTTATTAACTATTTTAAATAAGTTTTCTTAAATAAATTTAAATAAAGTTTTCTTATTAGTATAAATATAGTTATTATACTTAAAACTTTTAATTTTATTAACTTTAGTTTTATAAATTAAATTATTTAATATAACTTTATTTAATATATATATAGTTATAATAAGTAAGAAAGATATTTTAATTATTATATATATAAGAGGATATAAAGAATAAGTTTAAAGCTTAATTTAAAGTAGTAGTTAAGTTTTTATATTATAATTATAGAAACCTTTTTAGCTATATAAAAAGCTATATTATTAAGTTTATACTTTTAAATATAGGTTTAAGTTATTACTAAACTCTTATTATAAATATTATTAGCGTTCTATATTATAAATAATAATATTATAAATAATACTCTTATTAGTATATTTTACTACTCTATTATAAAGTAATAAGCTAGGAGCCTTAATTAGGAAAGGTTTAGAAGTTATAATAAGAGTTAATCTAATATATAAACTATAGCTTACTTCTTCTTAGTTCTTTAGAAATAGAGATTTTACTATTAAAGTTAAAGTTTTAATTAACTAAGGTTTTACTAAGTACTTATTAATAACCTTACTTAATAATCCTTATAATTACTTCCCTCTCTAAAGCTTTAATTTTTAAAAAAAAAATATATATATAATTATTCTTTAAATAGGTCTTTTCTATAGTTTCCCCTATTTAATTAGAGCTAACTTTAGATTATTTTTTTATATCTAAATTACTTTATTAATATATTTATAACTTTATACTTATAGATATAGTATCTTATATTATTTTAGTTAATTTAAGTTATTTATATTATTTTATAGGTTTATAAACTAAAAATAAATTTTTTATTTATTATTAAATTTTAAATACTTTTTTATATTAATTAGTTTATTATTATTTTATTATTATATTTTCCTCTTTAAATAGTAGTTTTCTATTTATTTAATAATATATATTTAAAATAGTTAATAATAATAATATTTTTTACTTATACTTTAAAACTTTAAGATTTTCTTTTTTTAATATATTTTTTTTAATAATTTTATATTTCTTTAGTTTTATTTTTTTATTTATTATTTATTTATTTTTTTATTAAATATTTTATTAATAGTTTTATATATTTTTATTTATTTATTTACTATTTCTTTTTTATTTTTCTTATTTTTATTCTTTTTTTACTTTTTATTATTTAATTTAGTTAGTCTTTTTTAAAAGTTATAAGCTATTTTTTAAATATTATTAAGTTTATAATTTTGTTAACTTTTATATCTTTTTATATTATCTTTTTATTAACCTCTTATTAAGATATTTAATATTATCTAAATAGCTAAAATCCTCTCTAAGTTTTAATATAATAATTATTATTTCTTTAGAAACTATAAGAACTTTATTAATAAAGAATATTTTTATATTAATTACCTCTCTTTTATTATTTTTAATATTATAAGAATACTATATATCTATAGAGATTATATTATTATTTATATTATCTATAAGTAATAAAAAATTAAATATAGTATAATAGGTTTTTATTTTACTCTTTTTTACTTTTTATTAAAAACTAATTAGGATTTTTAAGTTTTTAATAAGCTTTATAATACTATTTAGATTAATTAGAATATTATTAATAATATACCTATATAGCGCATTAATATATACTTAATAAGCCTATGCGTTACTTAAACATATAAGCGTTAGTTTAATCTTAGCTATAAGAACCTCTTTTCCTCTCTTCTAATTAGTTAAGAACCTGCTATAAAAAGTAGGTCTTTTTCTTAAGAGACCTATATATATAGTAAAGTATTAATAGCCTCTAGCTAATTATTATATAGTATTATATACGTATATTATCTACTTTATTATATACTATACTTATAGCTTAAGTTTTCTTCTTATAAAGGGTTTCTTAGTAGTATATAGCTTAATATTAAGTATTAATATAGAGTATTAGAGCTTTAAGCCCTTTAGTATAGATTAAATAGAGGGAGAAGTACCTTTATACCTTCTAATATATTATTAATAATATTTATAAACTAAAAGCTAATAATAAGTTTACTTTTTATAAGTACTAATATATTTAGTTTATTCTAAATAAGCTAAATAAAGTTTAAAAGTATATAGTTATTCTTATTAAAAACCTTACTTAGAGCGTTAATTCTTTTAATATAAACTAATTATAACTCTAAAAGTTTACTTTAATCTATAAATTACTTATAATTAATATTATAGCTTAAGTAAGTTTTTACTAAAAGTTAAATATATATATATATTTATTAATCTCCTATTAGACTAGCTTTATTACTAAGTAGTTAAATATTATTATTTATATTAATACTATTTAACTTATTTATATTTAGAATAATACTTCTATTAAGTACTTTTAGAACTAGCTTTATTTAGCTTATAATACTTCTTATTTTTAGCTTCCCCTTAATAATTAGTTAGAAAAAGATCTAAAAGAATTCTTAAAGTTTCTAAAAGCTACTTAAAAGCTCCTTAATAAATATATAAATAATAAAATCTCTAACTATTAGATTATTATTACTAATAATTACTTTATACTTTATAATAATATAAAAACTCTTATAAGTTAAATAGTGATTTAGTTTAGCTAATATTTTACTATAAAAGCTAAAGGTATTAAGAAGTATAATACTATTACTCTTATTATTAAAAAGCTTATTAAAGGATTAAAACTACTATTAAGCATCTTTATTATTATAGCTATTATAATAATAAAGATATTAGTAATAGTTATAGTAATAAGACTAATAGTTTTATTATACCTCTTCTTTTTAGTAATAATATTAAAGAGTTTAGCTTTAATAATAATAATAATAAAACTAATAAATAGGGTAGTTAGTAAAGTAGTAAAGAGGGTAGTCCTCTTCTTAAATAGAATAAAGAGGAGAGAGAGAAGTATTTTAATATTTCTCTTAAAACTTAAAACTATATATTTTTAGGTTTTTATAGTTATTTTTAGTAGTTTATTATTAAGCTTTTATTATAGTTTTTATAATTTTTTTATAAACTTTTATTTTTAGATATTAGCTAGCTTTAAAGTTAATTAAGTAGCCTCTAGCTATTTATTATAATTTTTACTTACTTAGAGCAATAGACCTCCTAACTCTATACTTCTTAATAATATATATA